TAAACATCCATAAATGCAAGTGCCTACCCATCACATATATACATAATTAAATAACACATATTTAATATATCAATTTTGATTATCAAATAATCGAAGCATAAATTAATATCGTCTATAGACCGCTCTGATACTAATTGTTGGTTGCCGAATCGAATTCGGACGCGGAAGCGTGGCAGTAGGCGGATCGTGTATAACAAAAATTTTCATAAAACTTTTGAGATACTCTATAGATTATATTAATTTATGCACGAATAAATTAATCACATTAATTTATATGTCAAGAACTCAATTAGGAAAAATACCTGGAGGCCGACTCAGATGATAACTTGAATTCTTTGACCTCGACCAATCCTTGCTCCAAGCTTTGTGTTTAGAAAACCAAAGTCTTCCACGTCAATTTCTTGATTCTACGTAGACGTGTGTGTGGGCACACGTGAGGCAATACAGGTTTCAAAAACACTCGAATTTTCACAAACACCAACGCATGCACGATGTGGAATTTTTGGGAGAATAAATTTTCCTCTCTTTTTTTCTTGAGACTTTTCGGCCACACTCAATAAATTATGGTAGAAAAAATGTTTCAAAAATTGTCTTCACAATTTTCTATTATTCTCTTATTTAAAGAGTAGAAGTCAAACTTCAAAAAGAAATCAAATCTCTATCTCCTATTTGAATTTGGTATAAAAAATCTCCTACACCTTATCCCTTAAGTGGCCGGCCATGTAGGGTTTATTTCCCTTGTTTGTGGCGCCAATATTGGATAGGGAAGGAAGAGAAAAACATCATTTATCCTGTAGTCCAATTTTAATTCAAATTCAAATTCAAATTTAAGTCAAACTTAAAATAATTTGAATTCTAAATTGAACAACTTATTAAATAAGTTTAAAACAATAAATTTAAGTTATGTTCACAATTCAAATTCAAATTTAAATAATCACATTATTTAAATAATAATTAATTCTCAATTAATTATTTTCGAGTGTTTACTTTTAGAATTCTGTAATTATAAAATTTTCATTTTGCCCTCTGTGTCTGGTAGAATTACAAGGACGACGCGGGGACTTATGGACCTATAATCCCGAGCTCCAATAAAATTAATAATTAATTAAACACTTTAATTAATTAATTAATTAATTATTAATTATATTAATTCTAATAGTTACTCCACTATAAACTTGAAATTGCACTCTCGAAATTTAGACATTAATTACTTCTAAACTGTGAAGTGTCCATTTGATATAGTCATTGCATATAGATTAACCCTCCATAAATAATTCATAATTAGAGTCAGGTAGAATCCGTTAACCTCTCTAATTATATCTTCATCCTTGAGTACCATTGATTCTCTAATGGATAGTGATTCATAAAACACATTCATGAACCAGAGCGCTCTTACTAATCTAAGTATCGAATCAACACTCAAGAGAATTATTTATCTACTTTTTTCTCAAGAAGGAATGGATTCCATCTCGTATAATAACATTCCCAGCTACCTATTTCATTATGTCTCCAAAATACAAGAAATAGGATTCAGGGTCTCAGAATCCGTACCGAGTAAAT